CAGTCTACCACAGTATTACTTTTATTTAAAATTATACTTTTATACTCTACTGCACAATTGTATGTCTTGTTTTTTATTAGATTTGGTTCTACTTTTTAGTCTCTCTTTATATATATATATGTATTTTTTAGAGCAGAGTTGGAGGAAACCTAAGAGTTAAGAATTGTATTTCCACTGATTGCTTTACTGTAATCGTGACAATGACGATAACACAAACACAATGCTTTTATTCAAAATGGATTAACTACAGGGATTAAGAAACCAGTGGTTATTCTTCACATGAATAGAATGAATAGTTTCTGGTAACAAACCTATGCTTAACGCTCGCTGCCAGTCAAAGCGTGCAAAAAAAGAGCTACAAGGAAGTAAAAGCAAGCATAATACTGAGTTCGCTTATCAGTGATCAAATGTCCTTCAGCATGCAAACAAAGTTATGCGAAACTATACCTGAATGATTATCTCAATATAATCAGAGTGAGTTCAGGTTACGGTTCAATTTACCTGAAAATATGCGGAAACTTTCATATTAGGGAAACTAAGAGTACACCTGCTGACAAACCGTATAAACAACATACCTGAGATGCTTAACTACCTGCTGACTGACCTTATAAACGGTACAGTTGATAATCTGATTAAAGTTTAGTTCTTTGATAAAAACAAGTTAAAGTTAAAAAGGTTAAAAAGGGTCCCTCCCATATTTTTTTATGTTTACATGTCTTAGAATTCATTCAAATGCATTTGATTGTAACTGGGTTGTGGACTGATCACTAGAGGGTGATAGCTCTCGGGAGGAACCTACAACCCTTTAAAGGCAGAAACTGCAGAATAAATCCTGCAGTTGGGCTACACACAAGCTAACGTTTCTGCCTCTTGTGTGTTCAGACAGTGGTTCCCAAACTGGGGGGCGCGCCCCACTTGGGGGGGCGCCAAAGATCGCAGGGGGGGCGCCAGGCCTCAGATGATTTGAGGCCAAATATCATATTTAGACTTTTTTTTTTACATATAATTGTAACTCAATACATGATTGTCACTTGTCTCTTCATTACAATACAATATAAAAAATAATTGATTAATTCATTTGAATAAAAATGCAAGTTAGTAGCTATTAAAGGCATAAAAATACAAAAATGTATAATTTTTTCTTTAATAGAAATGTTTCTTCTGCCCGTAAAGTGTCCAAACCAGGCTTTGCTGGATAAGCGCATTTTTAAAACATAGTCATTGTCCATGCCGGTTTCAGTTGGATTATTTGTCAGTTGCTCCGATCAGATCGGCCTCCTCCATTTTGTAGATTATTTACGACTTTTGAATCCACATAAACACATCGGCAAAATCCGGCTTACTTTGAGCATGTGTTTTAAACAGTTTAATCCCTTTGTGAATTGTTTTCACTTGCGCCGTCCTTTCATTTCTTCATACAGCGGGAATCCAAATGAATTAATCCTGAGTCCAATAACCATCAAAGTCACTCCAATAGTGCTCCTTAATCACGCTTTCATCCTCCTTTAACACAATACTTCACATTCATCCAGTTTGTGACAGTAGTTGTAGCATTTTTGAGACTTTTAAACTGTAATTACCGCTGTTGCGCCCCCCCCCCCAAAAAGGTTGGGAACCACTGATATAGGAGGTAGAGTCTGCTGCCGCCCAGTAGGCCTATCCCTAGGCCTGAGGCCAGCAACACTAACTGCGATGCTAAATGTCCGGCTTATAAAGTAATGAGCAACATGCTTCTTCTTTTTACACCTCAATGGGCTTCTCACCATGATGCCTGCATACTTTATGTCCCTTTCTGCACAGTAACATGAATGAAGATCTTACCTGAAGCTATAGCTAATGAGAACATTTTTATCGTCATAACTCAACCCAGTCTCACAACATTTAATATATTGATTCGTGTTCACCAACACGATTTCCCCCTTTTTTTCGTGTCACACAGAACGATTTTAAAAGTAATGTATAGTGGTAGTATGTTTTCGTGCCTGCAGCACATCTTTTTTACTCATGTTCTTACTCAATATCAAGCCACGATTATTGTTTTGATTTTAAATCGTATAATGCCGGACTTTTTTTGCCGTCTGTGAGGAAAATAAATGGGGCTCAGAGCCTCAGAATACTGAAATCTGTATTTTTTGTAATCTTTTTTTCCTTCTAATTTGTTATTATTTTCTAAGTAACACACTGTTATTTACTCACCAATAACACACAATTATCCTTGTTTTTATTTATTTGTTTATTTCCATAATCTCGGGCTTTTTTGGCGTCCGTCAGGAACTGAATTTAAAAATAAAAATAACCGGAAACAGACGTAGGCCAGAGTTCCCGTTAGAATATGTTTTCGCCGGTCAACATGTCCGTTAAAGTTTAAATCTTCCGGACAAAATTAGAAAAGTGACGGTCAAAGGTCTTCTTTGTTATTTATTGTGCTTTAAAAGTGTACAGTAATTTACAATAACACGGGAATAATAAACGGAGCGCTCTCCCTCTCCTGACAGCCCGCCAGTATCATGCAGATCGCGGATCAGTAATGAGTGACCCAACAGTAAAACTAAACATATCTATAACTAGTTACGGTAGTTTGAGAGGTAATTAAAATAGCTACGTGTGATATTCTAACCTGAAGTGTGTGTTGCTCCGCTCACCGCTGCATGTGATCATGCAGAGCTGCGTGTCGACTCGTCAGCAGCAGCTGATCTCTCTCCCGTCAGATTAGACTTCACTTGCGTTTATGTCCATATCGATCAGATCCAGCTAGTTCTAGCTAATGATATGACTACCTGCTTATTAAAAGACACCTAAACAATAAGCGTCGCTATGCAACTGGGTGAGGCCACAAAGTATAGCGCAGCATTATGCATTTGTTTACATGCCCACCGGAACCCCGAGGCATTACCAACAGATCAACGCACAATCAACCCATACAGGACATCTCTTTCTCCACATTACGTGTTAGACATTAGAATTGACTATTCTTGTCTGTCACATAAATGGCGCAAATTGCGCAACTGATGTGGTATTGCGCTAAACGGAAATTATTTTGAACGGACACATTGACCAGAGAGATTTAGATTTGCCGGTCTTCAGCATATTTTACCGGTCGTAGTCCGGTAATTACCGGCTAACGGGAACTCTGACGTAGGGACATTTCGAGCGTCATTGCAATACACAGCCACTGAACTGATTACCCAAGATCCTCAGCTATGGTTTAAGCTCGGTGATTGGATGTTTTAGCCGCAATGCACGTTGGTATATGGTGTTAATGCGATATGAAATCCGAAAAACATTTTGAAGACACTACACTACCCATAATCCCCAGCTATCGTTTGGGACTACAGTCCCCATGATTAATCCTCAATCTCTGGGATTGGATGTTGGAGTGGCAGTGCACCACGTACATGCTATGTTATAAAGCCGTGGAGGGCAGGAGTTTATAAACCAAAGGGTAACCGCCCTTACGGGACGCTGTAATAAGTAAAGCGAACGCACCCACAAGGACACTTGGCCTCCTATTGGTTGAGGGATTTTGACAGGATTGTTGCACAAAAGTTTCGAGCGCGCACAGAATAAATCTGAGAGCAGAACAAATCTGTAAACAGCAATATATCTGAGTGCAAGCGTACAGTTTGAGCAGAAGCAGAGCACATCTAAGTGCAAGCAGGCACTATTTGAGTGCGAGGACAGGGTTTGAGGGAAATAAATCAATAAAGTATGCTCTCAAATTTAAATACCACACTCTTGAATAAAGATAGGGAATAACCCCCATAAAATGAGGCTGTTAAAATGCAGTCTATCATCCACCTAGTCTGAGCAGAGACTGTCCATCTCGGCAATGAGATGAACAATGTTGTGAAAACTGTCAACATAATTCGAGCATGCGGGCTCTAATAGAGTCAATTCAATAGTTCCTATCTGATGTTGATGCTGAATTCGGGGACCAACTGTACCATTCAGATGTGAGCTGGCTGAGTCATGGCTCCATGCTGGAGCGGTTTTATTCCCTGAGATCAGAAATCGACCCGTTTTTGAAATAATTGGACCAACCTCTTCATGATCTGACCGACCCTCTATGGTTGGCAGACTTGGCATTTTTTTGTTATCTTACTGATCATCTTAACAAACTGAACAAGAGCCTACAAAGGCAAAGACCAGCTTGTGTTGTGTTTTCTTTAAGCATACTCAATTATCAAGCATACTTGACCTACTTCTGATTGATTTGCTGACTGTACCTCTAGTGAGTGGTGAGTGTTTTTTCTCTATCTGGCCCTCTGTGAAAACAGTTTGGACCCCCCTGCATTAGAGGCTATTAAATGAGATGCTGATCTGGTTGAATCATTCATGTAAATTAAGATTGAACATATAGTATAGAGGTAGAGGATTAGGATTCAATAGGAGGTAGAGGATTAGGACTCAATGTCAATCCAGTTCAAACAGATGAAAGGTTATGTAGAAAATGTATTCTGTATGTGATGTGTATGAATGGTTATACTAAAATATGTATATAGATTAACTCAGACGATTGCTAACAAGCATCAGGTATGATTTCTGTAAAATGGCATGAGGGGTGGAAAGGGGGAGGGACTCCCTATCTTTTTCTTTCTTTGTTTTTGTCTTTCTTATTGTATTATCGTTTACAATATATATATATATCTGTGTTTATAAGAACCTTGGCAACTAGAAAACAATAACAAGTTGGTCACAAGAACAACAAAGGAAACAAAGGGACAACTAAAATTGTCTTCATGTGACCCATGAGCTAAAGATAACTTAACCAAACCTAAATCTTAAATAAATAACGTGTATACTATTTCCAAAAAACCAATCCACAGTGCAGAGAAAGGGAGGGACATAATGAAAGTGATTTTAAAGTTGACATATATGAGACACATACTGTGGACCATTGAACAATTTAATAAGAAGTAGAGCAATTCCAAATAGTCAGATGACTGGTGTATTGCTTTTTAATTAACATACATTGTTGGAATCAACAACCAAAACATTTATTTGTTTTTCAAAGTATTTTTATTTTGTTTTTCTTATAACCATTATTATCATGCACTTGGAAGGTATATAAAGGTGTGCTTTTTAATCATTGTTACCTTCTTGTTGCTTTACTTTGTCCCCCTATTAACCTTGATAATATGTCACATCGGTGTCCCATGTCCTGGATTTAAAGTAATTGAAGAAAAGTGTATAACTTTGATTGAACTGCAGATACTTCATGTCCACAGAGATTCATTTGTGGACTCCTTCATAAAAAAAACTATGCCTCCTTTCTTTCACAGATGTTCTGACTGTCCGCTGGGGTGTGAAAAACTGCCCACGAAAAACTATATTCCACATTGATTGTATCAAACCTCAATAATGAATGAGTCTTTCACCCATGTAAAAGCAAAGACACACTGTTAGACAGTGAGACAATGATTCAAACCACCAATACCCTAAACACATGGACTATAGTAAACATTACACAGTATCTGATCATCTTTCTTATAATCAGAGAAGTTCAAAAGGGCATTTCTGTGTTTAGTCTGACTCAAAGGATGGCAGGGGCATGTATTTAGCTCTGGACCTCCTTGAACGATAGATTACTGCTCCGCATACCAGGAAGCAGCCGGCAACAAGGAGGATGTTCATGCCAAGACTCATGCTCGGACCAGATACTGAAATGGAAGAACAAGAAAAAGACAACCATTACCTTCATATATTTGTTTCATACAAAATATTGGATTGATCTGAATCATATCCCTGTAGATGAGTCAAACTACATAATCACAGTGTATTGAATAATCTTATGGTGTCTTGTCCACTATTGGGCATATTTAGTGAGCTGCATAACCAGGAGGAGAACCCGGATCCTAGAGAACATTTGTATTATATCTATGATAAAGAACAAAGTCCGCAGAGGAGAAAAGGTTGGTTTGGAAGTATGGGTCAATGAACAGGGCTTTCAACCAAGATACCCTTGTCCGTGTCCCGTAGTTAAACCAAAATACTACATGTTATTTCAACTTACAAGAGGTACTTAACTTATGTATCTCACCTAAGTTATATAACAAACAAAACCATGATATGTTACTGAAGCACCAAATGAATACTCTAAGCACAATTTTGAAAATGTTAGCATTTCACAACATAATGATTGTGATAACAGCCATTTTTTTCGGGCTGATTACAATGGGTGGTGCTATGTGTGTGTGCCAGTTCACTAGGGACACCTATCGTCATAAAGTTCAGTATTGGTTGAAACTTTGTAGGATGTAGTTTGTGCAGCTGTGGATGTGGACACTTACATTTGCTGTCTGAAATGTTAGCCAGGCGCAAAGGTCCCTGGGAAATGGAGTGGCTGGAGGACTCGGCCCCAGCTTCCCTTCTGCTTCTGCCTGAGTTGGATTGGATACATCCCTGAGAGCACCTGGTCCCTGGAACGCCAGTCTGACACAGGATGACGGTGCAAGTGATGTACACCTGCAGACAGATGGAGGTAAAGTCAGTCAACTAAAGAAAAGTCATTTGTACATTCTTAACAAAGTATAAACTTAATAAATAGGTAAAGTAACCATTCCTAATATCTTAATAAATAAGCTTGTCTCAAAGTCAGTTTTGTTATTAAATGCCTGGAACGTTAAAATACATCAGTAAATACCCCACTGGTGAATAAAAAACAGCGGTTTCTAACAAGTGTCTAAAAGAGATGATTAAACGTAATCACGCCCAACCTTAGCCGCCTTTAGCTTAGCGGAGGTGACTTGAAGTCATATAACCATTCTGTAGTTCTTTTATAGCCTAACGTTAGCTTTGTATAATAAAAAAAACGTAAGGTTGTGATAATATGTGGAGATAGTCCTGCTGATCAAACCGTGTAAGTCTCATAACATTTAACTTTCCACGAATATTCCAAAAGCCAAAGGAAAGTTCCCATAGTTTTTTGTTGAGGCGACCAGTGCACTGCCAAATTCCATATTGGCAAACAAAAATATATGTCATCCCTGCACCACAATATGCACACTACAGTACAAGTCATTTACAATAAGCACAGTATATAACTTTGGTTACTTTCCTTATCTATTGCTCTGGTACAAATACTTATTCCAAATAAATGTATACTTATATTTTTTACTAGTTCCAATGTACTGATGATAGACGTATAATATTTTGACTAAATACAGAAAAAGTAACCTTACCGATTCATGAGCACCGATGAACTCAAAAGCCTCCATTCCAAATCTGAAGTGAGTCTTGGGGCTAGGGTAGATTGTAACCGTGTCGTCCCTCATGCACCTGTTAATGTTGATACAACGGTTTATTAGAATAAATGAAGGCATTTCTCATATGGATCAAACAAATGCCTCTTTGGTGAGTAGATACCCTACCCGTTTTCGATGATGGTGTAGCTGATTTGAGAGTTGGTGTTGTCATATGGAGACGCCTTGCAGGTCTCCACAAACAGCTCAGTGTTGGGGATGGAGGTGGTCGCTTCGATCTGCATGAACATCCTCTGTTTGAGGTACACCTCCACTGGGTAAACGTTGGAGTCAACTTGTTTTTGGAAACGCTGGGTTTCAAAAAATTCAAACTGGAATGTGAATGCACCGAATCCCTTATCTTGGAAGGCGTACGGGTTTTTGTGCGTGAATCCCAGGGTCAAGTTGGTTTGCATTGGATAGCAGCAGAAGAAGACGATCTCAACGTCGTGCTGCCTGGTAATTATATCTAGCGGGTTAGCAGATGTGATCTCGTTCTTGAAGATGATGTTGTCGTCTTTCTCCTAAAAATGGAAGATAATTAAATTAAGAGAGGAAGCAACAGTCTTTAACACAACAAGACATAAGTAGATGGTGTTATGAGATACAAATACATCGATTTATATACTCTATAAACTATTCTCCAGCTAGTGGAGTTAGCACTTATTTAGGTGTCTGAATGAAAATCAATCAGCTTTTGCCAACATGAATAAAGTATTCTGACCACAAGGCATGCTGCATTTAGTTCACTCTCTAGAGGAAAACATATTTTAACTATTGGGGCTCAATCATGAAAACTAAAAACTAGACTAAAATTGGGTAGTTGTGCTAACCAAGAACTTCATTTTCTTTCTAGCAAAACGACTCAAGTGGCAAATAATGTAGGAATATTAGCCACAACAAAGATTGAGTAAAACCTTTTGAATTATGATGTGAAGTTGCTGTTTTGGAGGTTTGTGTTGTTTTGTTTCTGTTACTTGTGATGTTATTGTAAGTAACCGAGCAGATAAGTAATACATGCTGTTAAACGTGTATTTTTCTTTCTACCCCCCTACACTCCTATTTGGAGCATTGTTAAATTTGACAAAAAGGGACAAAATGCACAATAAACCATTATTCCATATTTCCTTTTGGCCAAGAAAATGGTGTTGTGAAGGTCTGATATTGTGATAGTCCTAGCCTAACCGTTTTTGTTTTACATCAAGCAAAGAAATATGCGGATGTGTTCAGCCAAACGTCCTTTTAAGAAAAGCGATAGAGTTTTTTGTGTACCTCTACAAAGGTTCCACATGCATTTAGCGACATGACCGCCACCAGGTGGGTCGCGTTGGAGCGCGTTGCCAGGTCGCAGGAAGAATCGCCCAAGGCTTTCAGATGCAAGTTGTCCTCATGGTGTCTGATAAGGTAGGACTTCTCCACTTCCACCGTCATTGTTGTTTCACTGCATGTCACTTTGGTCTCTAGAAATCGGTAACATGTATTTATTTGTACTCATATAATCAGTGTAAATCTCCAGGCTTTAAAACTTGACATCCATCCACTTAATATCAAATGTATTGGACATAATCATGGTCTACATAAATGATCAATGGAAGAAAAAGTTAACTAACCATAGTGTCCGACATCTACAATGACACAGCGTAGCTCGGATTGAAAGACTCGGCCCCATCTTGAAATGAAATATAGATAGTATAAATTATATGAATGGTTTATCAGGGAATTTCTCAACGGAAAATAGACAAAGTAGATATTTTATAAAAATATTGAATGGGTGCAAGTGTAGTATTCTTATTTAACCTGATTGACTTAAAACTCACTCGTCAATTGCTTCAGAAACAAAGCAAATAGGAAAATGGCCGTTCAGTTCATTTTCAGTTGGTGTCCATTTTATGATATATTCTTCTGCGGAGATATTCTCTTTTGAAATGCCCATTGGTCCAGTAACAATCAAGTTATGAATCCTAGAGAGATAGAGAACACTGTATTATAACTTGAAATGGGAAACATTATTTGTTTAATAAAGTTAAAACAAGTAATTTATCATAAATGAGATCCAGGAGAAGCTTGTTCATTGTTATATTGCTGCTAAAATAGACATTATATTTAACATTATATTTCCTTACGTGGAATATTGGGCTCTGGATTTGACTTTGATGTTGAGGGTTTGGTTAACAAACGCAGGAAGATCCACCCCATTGCTCGGAGTTGGCGCCAAGAAAATGGGAAAGTAATCACCATCAAGGCATGAAGGGGGAGAGTATGAGTCCACTAAAGGTCAGGGGAGAGAAGAGAAAAAGGATTACATGGATTGAATGTTAATATTCCAATCGGTGTTATTACTATATGCATAAGCATCGTACAATATTACATTTTTTCCTGAGGTGAATTTAAATCCATGCATATTTTCTACCTAATTGCAGAGAGCATCAAGACTCTCTTGTGGATTAAATCAGTATACTTTGCAGACAGTTGCCACGACTACAAAATACACAACCTGAAATAATTCAATGTGACATTTATTGACAATAAAATAGAAAAACTATTTAAAAGATTGTGTTCAAACAGTCCTTAGCCAAAATGTAGCCCTCCTTTTAAGTCCAATGCAGAAGCCTGACTGAATACATCCTGTAAGTCAGACTAAAAATAAACGTTGCAAACACTGCAAATGAAAAATGCTGCACGAAGCTCCAAACACAATGGAAACCATGTTTCGTCAAGTTGGGGAATGTTTTCTAAACGCTGTGCATGTGTTGTCAAATTGGTGAAGATGTTTCTTCGTTTGCATCGTATTTGAAGATGCTGTGGGTTTCTCCTATTGTTAGTGTTTTGAGGCTGTTGTAGCGAGTTGGCCCCTGATGGCCACCGTAGTAAATGCCTATATTAAAAAAAGAAAATGTTTGCCTCACCTTGAACACTAAACAGCAGAGAAAGCTTGCTCAAAGCAGCAATTGTCCTTCTGTAAGGATCAGCTGTTGTTGTTGGTGCAGCTGTTGTTGTTGTTGCAGCTGTTGTTGTTGGTGCAACTGTTGTTGGAGCAGCTGTTGTTGTTGGTGCAACTGTTGTTGGTGCAGCTGTTCTTGGAGCAGCTGTTGTTGTTGGTGCAACTGTTGTTGTTGGTGCAACTGTTGTTGTTGTTGCAGCTGTTGTTGTTGCAACTGTTGTTGGTGCAACTGTTGTTGTTGGTGCAACTGTTGTTGTTGGTGCAACTGTTGTTGTTGTTGCAGCTGTTGTTGTTGCAACTGTTGTTGGTGCAGCTGTTGTTGGTGCAGCTGTTGTTGTTGGTGCAGCTGTTGTTGTTGGTGCAGCTGTTGTTGTTGGTGCAAGTGTTGTTGGAGTAGTTGTTGTTGTTGAAGTAACTGTTGTTGGTGCAAGTGTTGTTGTTGGTGCAGCTGTTGTTGTTGGTGAAACTGTTGTTGTTGGTGCAGCTGTTGTTGTTGGTGCAGCTGTAGTTGTTGATGCAAGTGTTGTTGGAGCAGCTGTTGTTGGTGCAGCTGTTGTTGGTGCAGCTGTTGTTGTTGGTGCAGCTGTTGTTGTTGTTGCAAGTGTTGTTGGAGCAACTGTTGTTATTGGAGCAGCTGTTGTTGTTGGTGCAGCTGTTGTTGTTCGTGCAAGTGTTGTTGGTGCAGCTGTTGTTGGTGCAGCTGTTGTTGGTGCAGCTGTTGTTGCAAGTATTGTTGTTGGTGCAACTGTTGTTGTTGTTGGAGCAGTTGTTGTTGAAGTAACTGTTGTTGGTGCAGCTGTTGTTGTTGGTGCAGCTGTTGTTGGTGCAGCTGTTGTTGTTGTTGGTGCAACTGTTGTTGTTGGTGCAGTTGTTGTTGTTGAAGTAACTGTTGTTGGTGCAGCTGTTGTTGTTGGTGCAAGTGTTGTTGGTGCATTTGTTGCTGGAGCAGCTGTTGTTGGTGCAGCTGTTGTTGTTGGAGCAGTTGTTGTTGTTGAAGTAACTGTTGTTGGTGCAAGTGTTGTTGGAGCAGTTGTTGTTGTTGTTGGAGCAGCTGTTGTTGGTGCAGCTGTTGTTGTTGGTGCAAGTGTTGTTGGTGCAGCTGTTGTTATTGGAGCAGCTGTTGTTGTTGGTGCAAGTGTTGTTGGTGCATTTGTTGTTGGTGCAGCTGTTGTTATTGGAGCTGCTGTTGTTGTTGTTGTTGTTGTTGTTGTTGTTCCGTAGTAGTAGTCATAGTGCTGGCGTTTATCCCTCCTCATTGTAAAGGGGAGCTTATCTGTGTAGGTTCCATCAGAGTAGTGCAGCTGAATGGGGCTGTTGGGAAAGTCCTCCACTACAAGCTCAATGGGTTGGTTTCCAGTTTGAGAACTGTATGTATACTGCAGGGTGCAGGAATTCTTAAAAAACAAAGAAAGACAGTTTTCACATTTACAGTGAAACAATTTCAGGATATCATTTGATGTATTTTATTATTATTGAAAGCTCTGTGGGGGCCAATCAGGAATTTACGTTTGAAAATCACATTTTAAGCTGAATTTCTCGATTGATTGTAATTCTTAACTTTGGCTGATTCCTTACCATATCGAAAGAGAAACCTTGAGGCAGGCGACATATCCCACACTCATATCCATTTGACATTGTTGGTACCCTGCATCTGACGTTGTCACCATCATGGTCAAACGTTGGGATTTTGAAGGATCGTGGGCAGCTCTTGGATACTCTGTAACATGTTAATCAAATGAATCAGTAAATGACAATAAAGTCAACAAATTCCGATATTATACATTTGTTGTTGGATTTCTTTGGAATTGGAATTATTTTTATGATTTTAAAGGTTCATTCACACAGTTGATACAATACAATACAATACAATACAGTTGATCTTTTTTGTTGATGAAAAACTGTATAATAAGGGACCTTTAAAATAAAACAATAAAAACATCAAATAAAAAAAAGTAAAATAAAAGCAATACAGAAAGAACACAGTGAAACACGGACAATGATTCCAGTGAGAATCGAAAGTTAACCCAAATGAAAAGCCATATTAAAAAGATAGGGACTATACCTGAGAAGAGGCAGCATGGTAGTGACAGGCATTCTGTTTGATTCTCCCGTATCAGACCGGGATCCCAGATCCACATGGCCCATCATTTTCCATGTGTTCATCGTGTCCGTCGCCCAGTGGCCCAGACCAAGTGAAGGAATGACCCGACCTGGGAATCTGTTTGAAGACAATGTTGAATAATTAGCATTTTAGCGATATCTTCAACATTATCACTGCGATGTTACTCGGTGTCACAATCAGATAACCTCAAAACTATATGTTTTTTTCTATAATAATGACAAAAGTGTACGATATGAACGTTTCATTTACACTGTCATGATTTTGCTGAAGAAACACTGCAACAACTCGAAATCTTGCCAAGTATTTTTGTTTAATATCTAGTCTAGATTATGTCTTTACACCTGATACTGTATATTACATAATACATTCAGAAGTAACACTACAGTGAGATATCGGGTCTTGTTTTTAGACAATGCATTATCTTGTTAAGTCAAATAATCTTATTTCGAGTTGTATCTCAGATTAAACACATATTTATTTTTGCATATTTCTTAGAAACTCACCAACTAACATCAGAAAACAGACCACTTTTGAGCATTAGCGGCTTATATTGTAACAGCATTTCCTAATTCTGGTCAAATATAGTTCAAAATTAGTTCTCCCAGCTAAGATGTGATTTATCTAAATATCCCATCTTATTTCAAGTTCTCTAACCAAGCAAATTTACAATTGTTGTTCTTATTTCAAGTGAAACCGCTTGTTTTCATTATTGTTTCACTTGTTTTTAGAGCAGCATTTTTTCCAGTGTATAAGTAATATCTCACCTGATCTCGAAGGGGGTGTTGCTGTGGAGTTTTAGTTCTTTCTTTATGTCGGCTGTGCACCAGTTAATACCATGGGAACTCATATTGTTATGTTGGACACTGCTATTGGTGATAGATCCACAGCCACCAATACCACAGAAGTAGTCAGAGTATAAGGGGTTACACATGTATGTTGACTGTTTGTTGCGGAGTTCCAGCTGTAAAGAATATGCAGCAGTGATTAGATTATCAAAGGTCATTACATTGATGAAGAAAAATACCAGGTCAATAGCAATTGGTGACAACAGATTTCAAGATTCAGATTCAAAGGTTTTAATGTCATATGGACATAAGCTACAATGTAGAAAGGGCAATGAACATCTTATGACCCGAGCTCCTCCAATAAAATAAAAAAATAAAATGGTGCAAGAAGTCTATATACATAAATAGAATATGATATACAAGAACAGAATGTAAAATAAAATATTGTACAGTAAGATGAAATGAAATATGGTTTATTATGGTGATAACTATTTAGATAAATAAGTAAATTACAAGATGACAAACAGATGAATGTTTATCGAGGCACTTAACAGAGCTCAGAATGGTTATTATTCTGGGTAGTCAGACAAGTGTAGTGCCAGATAGTGCAGTCCAAGTCCATGCACACTAGCAATGCGTCATGAGTGCACAAAAATCCTCTAAAAATATTATGGTCGAAATGTCCTTTTTAAAAAATATATCTTCACCCTTACGGATATATGTATTTGAAAAAAAACAAATATATTTTCAACATTATATATAATATTTTTGCCAACTTACCTTATACGTCCCATCTGAATTCTGTCCTTTAGGCGTGAAGCTCATTGATCCACCATAGAAGCTTAAGTAGCTTGAGTCCAGGTTCCAGGCGGCAGCAGAAACCACGAGCAGCAGCAGCACCTGCAGCAGATACAGAGTGAGAGAAGCCATCTTCCTGGGTGTCCTCTCATCAGGCTCATTGCATCTTAAATACTCTTCTACAAGGAAATATATTCACAATATTATCTTGGTGCATACCAGAATTATAAAGAATGCAGTCGAACAGTATGTGCAAGGAGCAAAAGCGAAGGCATTCCTGTTCTGCACAACAATTACACTGAAAGCTAAGTTTCAATGAAGATTCATCTGATAAGTCTGTGTCATCCACTGTGTGAGAATATACAGAGGTTAAAAATGATTTATACCCCATGATCAGAATAAAATGACATCCAATGCTACAGTGTTAACATTGCATTGCACTACATTAGGAGAGACGCTGCAGTTTCAAAAACGATGCATATATTTTTGTACATATGTAAAAAAAAGCTAACCCTATTCTATCTATTACATTACATTACATTTAGCTGACGCTTTTATCCAAAGCGACTTACAATAAGTACATTCGACCAGGAAGACACAACCTTGAAGAAAACAGAATCATATAAGTACATCAGGTTTCATAGAGCCAAACATTTCAAGTGCTACTCAACTGGCTTTAGGTAAGCCAGTCCTTTATTAGTATAAAAGTGCTTCATTAATAGTTCTAATGCTCGAAGTGGAGTCGAAAGAGATGAGTTTTCAGTTTGCGCCGGAAGATGTGCAAGCTATCTGCCGTCCTGATGTCAATGGGGAGCTCATTCCACCATCTTGGAGCCAGGACAGCAAACCCACGTGATTTTGCCGATGGGAACTTGGGTCCCCCTCGCAGCGAGGGCGCAACGAGTCGTTTGGCTGATGCAGAGCGTAGTGCACGCGCTGGGGTGTACGGTTTAACCATGTCCTGGATGTAGGAAGGGCCAGATCCATTCGCAGCATGGTAAGCAAGTACCAGTGTCTTGAAGTGGATTCTAGCAGTTACCGGAAGCCAGTGAAGGGAGCGGAGTCGTGTGGGAGAATTTAGGAAGGTTGAAGACCAGACGACCGCTGCATTCTGGATGAGCTGCAGAGGTCGGATGGCACATGCAGGTAGACCAGCCAGGAGGGAGTTGCAGTAGTCTAGGCGTGAGATGACGAGAGCCTGGACCAGAACCTGAGTCGCTTTCTGTGTCAGCTGGGGACGTATCTTCCTGATGTTGTAAAGCGTGTATCTGCAGCAACGGGTTGTAGCAGCGATGTTTGCAGTGAAGGATAGATTGTTATCTAGGGTCACACCCAGATTCCTTGCAGTCTGAGTCGGGGAAACAACTGAGGTGCCGATGTTGATTGTTAGGTCAAGAGTGGGACCATCTATTCCCGGGAGGAAGAGCAGCTCAGTCTTGTCAAGGTTGAGCTTGAGGTGATGAGCAGACATCCACTGAGATGTCAGCTAGACAAGCAGAGATGCGTGCAACGACCTGGGTCTCTGAGCGGGGAAAGGACAGAATTAATTGGGTGTCGTCAGCGTAGCAGTGGTAAGAAAAACCATGCGGGCTAATGACTGATCCGAGCGAGTTTGTGTACACGGAGAAGAGGAGGGGACCAAGAACAGAGCCCTGAGGGACCCCCGTAGTTAATTGACAAGGGTCGGACTCAGACCCTCTCCAAGTCACCCTGTAGGTACGGTCTTTCAGGTATGAGGTGAGGAGGGAAAGTGCAGAGCCTGAAACTCCATGTTTTTGGAGAGTGCGAAGGAGGATCTGATGATTCACCGTGTCGAATGCAGCAGACAGGTCCAACAGGATGATGACAGAGGAGAGGGATGCAGTTTTGGCAGTGTGCAGTTCCTCAGTGACAGCAATGAGAGCAGTTTCTGTGGAGTGACCTGCCTTGAAACCAGACTGGTGCGGATCCAGAAGGTTGTTCTGATTGAGATAACAATGATATTTTATAATATACACTGAAAAACACTGACAGGTTGTCTTTAATTAAATGTATTATGTCAATGGATTTCACATACCTGTATTAGGTTAGTTGAAGGCAATACTATTACGTTTAAATTGGTTCAACTTTATTGTATTACTTGCTTTCAACTAACCTAATACAGGTGTGTGAAATCTGTTGACATAATACATTTCATTAAAGTCAATGTTTCCGTTTTTTCAGTGTAATCAGGATGTGGCGGTAGTATAAAAATCCGCACATGTTGTGACATTAAATATTCAACATTTTGTATTTTATAAATTGGTTCAAACATATATATTTGATTCTGTAAAAGTAACACACGTCTCCTGCATCACATGCGAGCTGCAGACGTTCTCATAAAGTGGGTTGTTGTTGAGCTCAAATTATAACACTTATCTGTATTGAAGTCAAGCAATAACAATAAATAAATTAACAAGAAAGTTAGGCGATATATATAATAACGAGGAAGCTCTTTTGTTTTAATTTACAGGAACATCTCTCTTGATAAACACCATGCCTAAAAACAGGTTTTTGTAAGAGTTGCGTTTACTCAGACACTGAAAGGCGTGAAGAACATAACAAAGTGACACATGTTTTCTAATTGATGATACAGTAGATTGAGGCAAGGGAATTTTTTTTGTTATTTGTTCAGGGATTAAATTGTGTCTTGTATGTGTTTTGTTTACTGTGTTGTGCAACAACTGTCCTATTTTACGAAATTAAACTTTCCTAAATATCTTTAATTGCATTTTACGTGGCAAAACATGCACTTTTGTAACGTTGACCCCTTTACATATCTAAACGTATTAAACTGACTTAAAACTGACTCTAGCTTGTTTAGTTTACAAATGCTTGGACTAATATGTGAACAATCACATCTGTATTTTTTGGCATACTCAGCTTTTTTCTCAACATTGTTTTCAATTTCATGAAAGTTATTCTAAAAATGCTTTATTTTTCTCCTAGTTTACAAATGTATTCCTCTTATTGCATCTTAGTATGCACCATTGTACAGCAAAGCAAATTCCTTGTACCTATTTGAAATAAACCTAACTAGCTAGGGTTAGGGTTATAATCAGGGGTGCACATCACTTTTTGCCCTGGTTCTCAAAGGAGCACCTGGAGATGTTGCTTGGTGCTCATCCTTAAAATGAAATAAACCGTAACTTTTGAGGGGGTCTGGACTTTATTTGCCAGACACACGGCACTGAACACACATGCAGAGGTGAACACAGAACACACGTGCAGAGGTGAACACTGAACACACATGCAGAGGTGAACACAGAACACACATGCAGAGGTGAACACAGAACACACATGCAGAGGTGAACACAGAACACACACTGAGGTGAACACAGAACACACATGCAGAGGTGAACACAGAACACACATGCAGAGGTGAACACAAGACAACATTAGCACGACCAGTAATCCTACAAGCTGTCATCACTACCCTCCTGACTGTTCTCCTCACTGTCTTCCTCTCTGTCAGACATGGTAGCTGATGATGTAGGCCTACTTGTAACTTTTATCCATGTACTTTTTTCTTTTAATGTTTAATTGACAGCACTGTAACTTGTATCCATGTATTTTTTCTTTTAATGTTTATTTTATTAGCTTTTCTTTTTAATGACTGCCATTTTCTTAATCTCTTTCATTTTTTGTAAAGCACTTTGAATTGCCTTGTGTTGAAAAGTGCTATATAAATAAACTTGCCTTGCCTTGCCTTGCCTTGCCTTACTTCTTTCTCTCTGGTTGAGTCTGCGATTAGCTGCTTGCATCCACAAGTCAACAGCTGGTTTTGGGTCGAAAGTCTCTGTTGTCATCTTAGACAAGTGGATGTAATCAAATAAGTATGTGAACATAACCAATAACCTACCATAGCCAATAACAAATGAATGTAACTTATTTTATTTGTGTTGTTCATTCATATCTTATTTTACCTTAACATTTATTTATGCATTTTTTTTTATCTCTCCAGTTTTAAAGGATATTTTTGGTTACTGTCCTATAGTATACATTGGAATGATTTAAAACCTGTTTATCCCAATAATTATAAAGGAGTGCCTTGGAAATATGTGTTTACATAAATTGCGACCAAACCGTTTGAATTTAGACTTTACCTCACTGAGCTGTAGTTATCAGTCTGAATGGAGAGGACTCTCCCTCCACATTATTGTAGAAACAACTTCTTCTTATATCCGTTAGAGCAGCTAGCACGGCACCAGATTCTAATTACAACAGCGCTGTTACCGGTGCACCCTCCCTTGCTCACTCGCATTTTGGCTGTGAGCTGCGGGCGCCAGATAAGCCAACATCCCCCATTTTCATCACTTACAGCGCCCATCGTACAGGGCAAATGAAACGTGTAACCGGGGTGAAAAGGGTGTTACATTTACTTAATTATGAATATTGTTACATCAAGGCCGAAAATTAGGATGAGCCCCAACGGTCAAAATGTTTTTTCCCCTCCCAGAACTGCCAGCGCAGCGACTCCCCAGATCTGGCGCCCTAGGCGAACATCTAGCCAGGGCTACGGGCCGACCCTGAGTTCATATCATGGTTCGTATGCAACTCGCAAATATAATTCTCTCTCTCTCTCTTATCTCTCCTCTCTCCTCTATTTTCTCTTTTCCCTTCTCTCTCTCCAGAACAAATCTAAAGGGAGGGCATATGATTTTCATGGGAGGGCACAACACCGTCAAGTGCTGCGGGCCTGCAGCACAATATCAAACAGCAAGGCCAACAGCATTGCGTAAAGACGCACACTTATCGCAAATACATACACAAATAAAGGGCAACATAGAAACCACTTTTGAAACATTGTGTGCGTGGCAGCACAGACACTGGTAAATCACGAGCAAGGCACACTGGTTAAGGATGGCAGCTTCCTCATCGCTGCACTCGGAGAGAAATAGACGGAGACGATGAACTGCTGTTAGCTATGGAATGCCATTTAAGCCAATATTAAATAAATAAATATATACATAAATAATTAAATAAATACATATATATAAATATGCCTATGAAATAATTTATAAAATAAATAAATTAGGCAATAAATATGTATACATGTACATTTAAATACACATTTATTTATTTCATTGGACTTTTATTTCATAATGACACAT